GGGGGGGGAGGGAGGGGGTGAATGTGATGCCCATAATGTAGGGCAGACTGACGAGGGCGGATCAAGCAGGACTGACAGGTTTCTGGGCTGGCAAGCTTCTGAAGAAGGAGTGCACATGTCACCTTTGGCGAATTCAACATCAGAATGGGAGAAGAAAGTAAAGAACTTTATAAGGCATGACACAAGTTCACATGGTATACGCGCTTTTGGGGCTCGATGTGGCATAACCCGAAAGGCAAATCCGTACGAGCTTAGGCCTAAAGCGGACAATATGAGCTTGGGTCGTAACATAACGTTTATGTATGATTTTTTTGACAAGTTGGCGTTTGATCACCCCTCTTACTATCTGCCACTTGTCAGGACCATTACACAAACAGCATGACACAAATTCACATGGTATACGTGCTTTTGGGGCTCAATGTAGCGTAACCCGAAAGGAAAATCCGTACGAACCTAGGTCTAAAGCGGACAATATGAGCTTGGGTCGTAACATTTATGTTTATATATGATTTTTTTTGACAAGTTGGTGTTTGATCACCCCTCTTACTAATGGGTGTATCTGCCACTAGTCAGGACCATTACACAATTAATCATTCTTAGGGTTGCTATTTAGGGATTAACCAGTTCTTATTTTGTCATAACAATTTGAATTAAATAGTTCTTAATTTCAGGACAATTCAGGATATTTATGTCCCGAAAAATTAAACTGGAAAGCTGAAATTTAGGACGCATTGACTAATTCTTAGATAACAGCCCTTAAGAGTGGCTACATGGTGTTATTTCTTACTTATTGGCTCAAGATACGGGGCCTTGATTGTAAATACTGTTTCTCTCCCTAACGTTTGCTTAAAGGTAAATGGGCCAATTTGGATAACAAGTAATGTATGCTCATTGTAGATTATAGTTATAAATGTTAATTTCGCATACCACTTTTGATTGAAAAGAGAACCAATAGAGGAGTACAAATAAGCATGGGATCAGAATAAATAAGAATATAAGTTGCATGGTCAGTTGATAAAAATAGAACGTAGTTTGGGGAAGGGGTGAGGGGACCAATAATTTTTAAATAAAATTGTATAGCTTTCATTATTAAGCTCACTAAAAACTCATGCCTCTACACTTTGCATGAACATGACACAAGTCTTCAACATCATTTCGATAAGGTTCCTTTTCTACCTTTAGGCAATAAGCCCCACAAGACTTTCATTTGCATCTTCAATTTTTTTGGGGCAACTAGGATTTTTTTTTTTTTTACATAATCGTGGTATCCAAGTTAGTTTGTACGCGCCTTGATTAATTCAATAGGTATATTATTTTTAACCAACGCAAGTACAGGGTAATTTTTATTCACCAAAATCTGAATAGATAAAAAGAAATCACCAAATATTTTTACATTTGTCGAGATTTGAACCTGAAACCTTTGGGAATACCTAGCCCCTAGTGTTTTTCCACCAGGACTCTAAATTTTAGAGTTTAGAACCAAAATGTGGTTCTTTTTGACAAGTGAGGCCGAAGTAAGTGTAAAAGAAAAGAGTGACATTTCTATATATAACGCCCTTTTAAAGGGCGCTATACTTTAACGTCCGTTTTGGACGTTAAGGTATAGCGCTCTTTAAAAGGTAAAAATAGCACGGTATAGCCCGTTTTCGGACTGGTCAATCAAAAATAGCCATCGTTTACCAAGTCAATAAAAAATAGCCACTATTTTGCTGCAATAGAGACCGGTCCAGCATAATATACTGGAGTTCGGTGCACTTGTGTATGAACTCCAGCATATTATGCTGGACCGGTATACTTTGCTGGCTCCAGTATAATATACTGGAGACTGGAGCACCGGTGCTCCAAACTCCAGTACATTATACTGGACCAATATACTTGCTGGAGCTCCAGTATATTATGCTGGAGTTCTAGTGCACTTATGCTAGAACTCCATCATATTATGCTGGAGTTCCAGCATACTTATTCTGGAACTCCAGTATAATATGCTGGAGTTCAAGTATACTTATGCTGGAACTCTAGCATAATATACTGGAGTATTTTCCGAGTTTTGAACAGTGTTTTCGCTCAGATTTATCTTTATATAAAAAGTGGCTAAATTTCGATTACTTTTGAAATTTGGCTACTTTTGAACGACCAGTTGTAAATCTGGCTATTTTTAAAATTTAGCATTATATATAAAACCTTTGTAAAATGCGTTATACCTGGAAGCTGATACGACATGTATGTATAGAGCTTTCATAAACCGCGCTATACATACATAAGTAGTCGTCCCCTTCCCTTTCCTCCACGTTTAAAAACCAGAAGCCCCCCCCCTACCCCTATTTAAACTCACGCGTCCCCCCCCCCCTCCCCCAATTAACTCAATAAAAAACTCTAGTGGACCCCACCCGTCCCACAAAAAGTAAAGAGTGTTGGTCCCACATCCTAGCTAAGCCTTCTATTATTGTGGGTTGCTTGTTTCGGACTCAAATTTTTAATTCTTCAACTTTTCGAAAAACATAAATCGAGGTATTCCGATTTAGTTTATATCGAAACTCGTATAAATAACACATATTAATTGTTTTGAATGTGTTCCATGTTGTTTTGTGTTTTTTTTTGCGATTAAACTGGTATGTTATTTTTATCCGGACTAAGATATTAGTGTTCTAAAAATATGTAAAAATTGAGAAGTCATTATTATTTGTTAATAAAATGTTAATGAATTACTTGTAGCGTTTTATATGTATTTTCGTGAATGTTTTGTGATTAAAATGTATTTGTTATTTTTATCTAGTTTAGATTATTTATTTGCTTAAAGACTAGTAATATAATGCCCATTTAGCGTAGTATCCCTGTAGTTTAAGTATCTCTTATACTGATAGATCAAACATAAGCTTTGTCCAATTTACAAAACTTAATTATTTAATTTACAAACAAACATATAAAATTTAAAAACTAACATGTAAAATAATAAAACTACCACATACAAGAATTAAAGATAGCTTGGTGCTACTTGGCCTCAAATATCGAGTCTGCAACCCATATGTGAATACTATGTCCAATCAAATATTGTATAATTATAAAAGTTAATTATTTAATATTCAAAACAAACATATAAAATTATAAAACTAACATGTAAAATAATAAAACTGACACATACAAGAATTCAGGATAGCTTGGTGCTACTGGGCCTCAAATCGAGCCTGGAACCCATATGTGAATACTCTGTCCAATAAAATATTGTATAATTATAGAAATTAATTATTTAATTTACAAAACAAACATATAAAATTATGAAACTAACATGTAAAATAATAAAACTAACACACACAAGAATTCAGGATAGTTTGGTGCTACTGGGCCTCAAAATATCGAGCCTGGAACCCATATGTGAGTACTTAATAATTAAATATTATAAAAATTAGTTATTTGATTTTCAAACAAACATGTAATTAATGTTGTTTAATTTACAGTAGACGATATCGACGTGCCGCCTATGCATCCCGGACCTTTCTGCGATGAGCTACTGTTGTTACAGGGCGATCATAGGTCCACCCACATATGTGAGGGAGAGTTACTGGCCCAGACTCTCCGCGCCAGGAGAGTGGACGGCATGTAGGATTTTCTGAAGGGCAAAGTTCTCCATCCCCGTGTAGTCACACACCTGCGGGATACGGGCTTCTACAGGATTTTGGAGATCGGGCGACTGCAGCTCGATTGGTCTTCGGTCACGGCCCTGATAGAGCGGTGGCGCATAAACGGTATCATCAACATCCATTTGGTTCCGTATACACGTTCTTTTTTGCACTTGTAGCTTACGCAAATAGTCCTTGTTACACACCATTTTAAATGGTTTCGGCGGCCAATAATGATCAGCACCCACTGGCTGCAACTGCCCACTATATGTGTTTAAGTATGCAGCAACACTGTATTGCTTATCAACATAGTTGGTTGGCCTTAAACTTGTATGTTGAAAGCACTTGATGGCATGTGAGCACAGCTTGTGGTAGATGGACCATTTCCCACAAGAACACAACCTACTAGACTCATTTACGATGTGTATATTATTCCCTCGGTTTTGATGGATAGCGGTGCGAACTTCAAAAATATTTCGTTCGTTGCAATACTGTAAAAATGAATGCCAATGTGCTCGCCCCCTGTATTTCTCAAATCTTTTCATTGGTATCGGCATAAATTCAACACCCATCTCCATCAATTCCGATGCACCTCTATGCCTTTCAACGAACCTCTCCGCCACGTGCAGACTTCAATAACCCGTTGAAAGACTCCGATACATTTGTAGTCAGGGT